ATTTCCTGCTTCTCTGGCCACAGCGGCGAGGAGGAAACATTCTTATCGACCCTCCAATGTCCGCACTGCAAGTCAGGAACCGACAAAGATTTATTCGCTAACTTCTGGTGGTAATGGTGGTGTGGTGGTGGTGGTGGCGGTGGTAGTGGTGGTGGTGGTGGTGTCGTTAGTGGTGGTGGTGGTGGTGGCGATGGTGATGACTATTTTACTAATTTTGTATTTAATTTTTTAATCAGTCCTAGAGAGAGAGAGAGGGAGAGAGAAGGAGAGGCTGTTCTTAGGTTGTTACCGTATATTAAACTTGATTTACATGGTCGATTAATAATCCTGTTAGACCAATGACTTAACTGGCGAGTCTTGTGGTTCAGGAGGGCGCCATCTTATAGTGACGCCTTTACAACCATCCTAACTATACAACCATCCTAACTATGTATATACAACCATCCTAACTATACAACCATCCTAACTATATTTATACAACCATCCTAACTATACAAACCATCCTAACTATACAACCATCCTAACTATACAACCATCCTAACTATACAACCATCCTAACTATACAACCATCCTAACTATACAACCATCCTAACTATACAACCATCCTAACTATACAAACCATCCTAACTATACAACCATCCTAACTATACAACCATCCTAACTATACAACCATCCTAACTATACAACCATCCTAACTATACAACCATCCTAACTATACAACCATCCTAACTATACAACCATCCTAACTATACAACCATCCTAACTATACAACCATCCTAACTATACAACCATCCTAACTATACAACCATCCTAACTATATTTATACAACCATCCTAACTATATATATACAACCATCCTAACTATACAACCATCCTAACTATATATATACAACCATCATAACTATACAACCATCCTAATCATACAAACATCCACTATACAACCATCCTAACTATATTTATACAACCATCCTAACTATATATATACAACCATCCTAACTATACAACCATCCTAACTATACAAACCATCCTAACTATATATATACAACCATCCTAACTATACAACCATCCTAACTATACAACCATCCTAACTATACAACCATCCTAACTATACAACCATCTTAACTATATATATACAACCATCCTAACTATACAACCATCCTAACTATACAACCATCCTAACTATACAACCATCCTAACTATACATCCATCCTAACTATATATATACAACCATCCTAACTATACAACCATCCTAACTATACAACCATCCTAACTATATATATACAACCATCCTAACTATACAACCATCCTAACTATAACCATCCCAACTATATATATACAACCATCCTAACTATACAACCATCCTAACTATACAACCATCCTAACTATACAACCATCCTAACTATACAACCATCCTAACTATACAACCATCCTAACTATATATATATAAACCATCCTAACTATACAACCATCTAACTATACAACCATCCTAACTATATATATACAACCATCCTAACTATACAACCATCCTAACTATATATATACAACCATCCTAACTATACAACCATCCTAACTATACAACCATCCTAACTATACAACCATCCTAACTATATATACAAACCATCCTAACTATACAACCATCCTAACTATACAACCATCCTAACTATACAACCATCCTAACTATACAACCATCCTAACTATATATATACAACCATCCTAACTATATATATACAACCATCCTAACTATAACCATCCTAACTATACAACCATCCTAACTATACAACCATCCTAACTATACAACCATCCTAACTATACAACCATCCTAACTATACAACCATCCTAACTATATATACAACCATCCTAACTATACAACCATCCTAACTATATATATATAGCCTATTTCTATTTTCTTTCCAGTTACACAGAAAGAGTGTCTCGCGGGCCGATTCAACACCCGAGGCAGGTGTTATTAAGGTAAGTGTATCTCACCTGTGTATCTCACCTGTGTATCTTACCTGTGTATCTTACCTGTGTTTCTTAATTGTGTGTCTCACCTGTGTGTCTCACCTGTGTATCTCACCTGTGTATCTTACCTGTGTTTCTCAATTGTGTGTCTCACCTGTGTATCTCACCTGTATCTCACCTGTGTATCTTACCTGTTTCTCAATTGTGTGTCTCACCTGTGTATCTCACCTGTGTATCTTACCTGTGTTTCTCAACTGTGTGTCTCACCTGTGTATCTCACCTGCATCTCACCTGTGTCTCACCTGTGTATCTCACCTGTGTATCTTACCTGTGTTTCTCAATTGTGTGTCTCACCTGTGTATCTCACCTGCATCTCACCTGTGTTTCTTACCTGTGTGTCTCAACTGTGTGTCTCAATGTGTATCTCACCTGCATCTCACCTGTGTCTCACCTGTATGTTGCGCCTTCCTTATCATCCTCAAGAGAGATTAATTATTAAGGATGAGTAATAAGAGTAAAGGTTCCAATGTAAAATTCCCTTACCTACGGGACACTAAGGTGAAGTTCCAATGAAATCTAACCTAACCTAACCTAACCTAACCTAACCTACCCAGGTGGTGCTTGGGTGTTTAAACATCAGGTGAAATAAGCTGGGTGTGCTAATCTTCAGGTGATCTTGCTATATTTCTTGAGCTGGGAGGAAGGTGTTGAGTGTTTTAAGACAGATTGCAGGTGTGGTTGTCGACTTTTAAAGCGTGTTTATTTCATCTCCTGATTACAATGTTCTATCGCCCAAGGACACACACACACACACACACACACACACACACACACACACACACACACACAGCGCGAGGCTTTTAAACTGAGCTCTTCTCACACATTAAAAACCTGTTGTTGACTCACAGCTGCCAGTCAGGGAGGCAGATTACGTATCTAAAAGCTCCTGTTGCCTAATTATTCAAACGTCACTCTCCTCAATTATCTATTTTGTTTATCTATCTTATCTATCTTATCTATTTTGTTTACACTATAGCCCGTTGACAGTGATAGTAAGAACTTTAAACGTTATGCAGTATAGGAGATTAGGAGAGGAATGCCTAATATTTGATGGTTTATTATGATTTGGAGGATGGGTAGTATTGATGGTGGTGATGGTGGTGATGGTGGTGATGGTGGTGGTGATGGTGATGACAGAGAATGGTGATCGTTGTGATGGTGACAGGATGATAGTGATGATAAGTTTAACTGATGTTCACAATACCTGTTGACTATGTTATCTATGTTATTAATTACGCTGGTAGTAATAGGACTTATGCTAACTATCATTATACGTTAATTGATTAAGATAACGTAAGTAGTTGTGGTTGGTTGATGGCGGTAACTACACCAACCTGTCCCACTACCAATAAAAGCACCATTTTTCGCAATAACTTTCACGCTCGTAACTTTATCAAACTTCAATCAGTATGATAATGTGGTAATGAAACAAACAGTAATGAAATGATGACTCGTCGTTTTAACAGCAGATGGCAGGCGGGAGGCAGATTGTAAATTGTTTTCATGTACCGCTAGAGTTGACTGTTTTAATACGTACTCCTACTACTACTACTACTACTACTACTACTACTACTACTACTAATACTACTACTACTACTGCTAATAGTAATAATAATAATAATACTATTCAATAAAATCTTCAGATAATATCACAGATGGTTTGAAGTGTATATAAACAATGCAGGAATACAGTTCAGCTTGTATATAGACAAAGCGGGTATTCAGTGGACCTAGACAGTGCAGGTGTACAACAATAGTAAACAATAAAGCATTTAACCATGTTACCATTTTCTGAATACCATCAGTAAGGGCGTCTCTGGCCCGGCAACTAACACAGGTGACCCGCTGGCTTATATTCCTCCACGTTTATTACTCTTAGTTGTTGATGACCTGTTATTACACTACAACATACTGTATTTTACACAATAATACAGTTTGATAACAACAACATCAGATGTAGTTTTATTTATTTCGTAGAAATTACAAATACACGACAGAGAGAGAGAGAGAGAGAGAGAGAGAGAGAGAGAGAGAGAGAGAGAGAGAGAGAGAGAGAGAGAGAGAGAGAGAGAGAGAGAGAGAGAGAGAGAGAGAGAGAGAGAGAGACACTGCAGGCACCAACAAGAGGCGAGGACAATAGGTAAAGTATTACTACACAATACTCACATGGGTAGAGTGTCTCTGGTGACGTCATAATCCCAGGAGTGATGTCTGTGAACGCGGCTGTGTTGAGGCACGTCCAGTGAGTCCCGCGTCCTGCGTGCCTCCAGCGAGTCGTCTCTCCTGCTGGGGTCCTGGGAGGAGTGTCTCCTGGCGGGGAGGTCGCCGCCGCCCCACAGCGTCAGGGAGTTGCTCACCGAGTTGTTGAAGGCCTCGCCATCAGCGTCCTCCTCCTCGTATGATTTTTGCCTCACGATGGACCGTCGTCTTCCTCTCGCCTGCCAGTTGTTGACCGCCAGGGCCTCGTCCCCTGAGGACTCAGACTCCCTGGTGACGGAGGCGTCCTCGGCCGCCGTCCTGGCAACACTCGTGTCTAGGGGCCGCGTCACCTGCTGGGAGAGGGTGGTAGTGAGGTGGTAGGGGGTGGTGATAGTGGGGTGGTAGGAGGTGGTGGTGATAGTGTGTAGGAGTGTGAGGTGGTGGGAGTAGGGTGGGTGTGTGAGTGGTGAGGTAGGGGGTGGTGATAGTGGGGTGGTAGGAGGTGGTGGTAGTGAGGTGGTAGGGGGTGGTGATAGTGAGGTGGTAGGAGGTGGTGGTAGTGAGGTGGTAGGGGATGGTGATAGTGAGGTGGTAGGGGGTGGTGATAGTGGGGTGGTAGGAGGTGGTGGTAGTGAGGTGGTAGGGGGTGGTGATAGTGAGGTGGTAGGGGGTGGTGATAGTGAGGTGGTAGGAGGTGGTGGTAGTGAGGTGGTAGGGGATGGTGATAGTGAGGTGGTAGGGGGTAGTGGTGGTAGTGATGTGGCAAGGGGTGGTGGTGGTTGTGATGTGGGAGTGGGTGGTGGTAGTGGTGGTATTAGAAATGTGGTGCGCGGTGGTGGAAGGGCTGAGATAGAGAGACAAACAGAGAGATAGAGAATAAAATAAGAATTAAACGAGAGAGATAGTGAACAGATAATTTTACGTGACTTAAAAATTAAATATACCTGTCACTTTCAACACCTGTCTTCCACCTGTCCCTTTCTGTCTTACAACTGTCACCTTGTACACCTGTCACTTCTTATGGAGCAGGTCATTCGTAATACCTAGGAGGATGCAAATAGAATGATGGTCAGGAATAGACACCATAGGATGATGACCGAAGGATAGATAGGATGATGACCGAAGGATTAATACTGTAGGATGATGACCGAAGGATACCTATGATGATGACCGAAGGAATACCTATGATGATGGCCGGAGGATTGATATTGTAGGATGATGACTGAGGATAAGCTAGAATGGCAGTGAAGGATTTATACTATAGGATGATGACCAGGGATAAATAGGATGGTACAAGACTCACGTGCAGGTTGTGATGACTCGTCTTGCGGGACCTGGATACGTCGGTCTCACTGTGCGCTGCGTGGATGCGTTGGAAGTTGAGGTGGTCATCGGATGCGTCCCTGAGCATGTAGTCACTCATACGCCCACGACGCACCGAGGCCGTACGTGACGATGACGATGACCTCGGGTTGTCGTCATCGTTATCCGAGCGGCGACGTGGTACTGATGGTCTCTCTCGCGACCTGATAGAGAGAGAAGGAGAGAGAGAGAGAGGGAGATGAGAGATAGTGGGTGTTTAGGTGCTGTGTGTGTGAGAGAGAGAGAGAAGGGGAAAGGAATTGTGAAAGAGAGAGAGAGGGGAATAGTGGATCAGAGAGAGAGAAAGAGAGAGAGCTAGAGAAAAAAAATAATGGTTGATGTTTTTGCTCCTACGAATCTGGTCGACCTGGTGTTAGGAATCTGGTCGACCTGGTAGAGCTGGTGCTGCCATCTTACACACCTTACCTGCAGGGGCTGGAAAAACTTTCTACCTGGTGGACCACATATTCTTTCTCTCTTTCTCTAACTTCTTCTGAACTATTTGGAAAACTCGTGGCAAGACGAAGAACCTTTCCTTCTAGACTCTCTCTCTCTCTCTCTCTCTCTCTCTCTCTCTCTCTCTCTCCTAATTCTGGATACATTCTGCACATTAATTACGATCTTTCAATAGTCTCCAAAAGAACGTACAGTATCTTGTTAAATTTTGGTCCCAGTGTAATATTTTGTGGGTTTAACTTATGTATGTCTGAGAATTTTCTCCCTGGAGCTTAAAAATTGGGTTATCTTTATGTCGTTCCAGATACCACAATACCGGGTATCTTGTAGACCCCAACCTAACCTAACCTAACCTAACCTAACCTTATGGACTATATGATGAGGAATGTCTGTTAGATCGAGGGTCATTTAGATGTAAAAACCTCCATCTAACGGATTATGTAACATAGATGGAGGTCATTTAATAGAGGGTTCACTGTATTAAGGTCTACACGTAAGACAGGTGGAATAGGTCTACCTGTCCCGAGGCCGACGACCATCACCACTACCAGGGACAGCTGAGGGCGGCCGTCTATCTCTCGACTCGTCCCTCGACCTAGACCTTTCTATAGACTTGGTCCGGTCGAGTGAGGTCTGCTTGCATGAACCTCTCGACAGCTTGCGGTGAGGGTAGCCGTTGGCTGTCGGGGGCTCGGCTGTCGTGGGCGTGGAGGGCGTGGTGGATAGGGTGTTGAGGTGTGTGCTAGACCCAGCCCTCGGCAGACCTGAGGGCAGGGGGCTGGGTAGAGGGGTCGAGGGGGTCGTAGCCTGGGGAACAAGATATAATGATGAATATGGATAATGTGATAAATGGATCAAACAACTCGCATTAAACTGAATAAAAGTCGATATTGTGGATTTAAATAATTTACTCAAAGGTGTAATTTTTAGGTTATTGTTCAACAAATCAGGTAAGTTACACCCTCATTAGGTAAAAGGGGATAAATATAGTTGACATGTATAGACATTTAGATAAAGATATCAATATTTGGGTAAAATATGAGTATTTAGGTGTGAAACATAATGGACAATGATAATATAAGAACACGCTAAGACATCCTGTTTATTAATGAAGTGAGTCAGTTGGTAGCAGGAAATATTTGAGTTTGTCTTTGAACTGAAGCTTTTTTCGTCTCGTTCAATAATAAACTGCAAGAATATAAATTAATATGAATTCGTTTCATGATTCTTGCTGCTGCTACCTGTTATAATACACTTTACGAGTTTCACTGAAAAAGAAAATATGGAGTTTTATTTCAGAGATTGTTAATATAATATTCACCTGAGCTTCTGACTGACTAATGTAAAACTTCTCATTGTTTATAATGTATTAAACTTTTACTCAAACATTTGATGACAGCATTAAAGAAACACACACACACACACACACACACACACACACACACACACACACACGTCTCCACTACTGAAGTTTACTAAAGAATTACTCGTATACTAAAAATAATGACTATGGCAATAAAAATATAAGAATGGAGGAAACTGCAGCGGGCCTATTGTCCCATACTGTCCCGTATACACCCAACCCCTATCGCTCATATATCCATCCAACCTGTGTTTGAAGCTATCCAGCGTATTCGAGTTAATGATGATGTTTGGTAACTTGTTCCACTCATCCACAACTCTATTTTTTAACCAATGTTGACCTATATCGCGCCTAAAATCTTAATTTGTCTAATTTAAAACGATTGCTTCGAGTTCGCTCCTTGTTGGATAGTTTAAGTACCTTGTTATATCACCTTTGTTTAGTCCTGACTTCCATTTATACAACTCTATCATATCACCCTTAAATCTACGCCTCTCGAGGGAGTGTAAGATGCTTTAACCTGTCTCTGTACTCAAGGTTCCTAATGCCCGCGACTAGTCTTGTCATTCTCCTCTGTATTCTTTCTAGGGATTCGATATCCATTCTGTAGTATGAGGTGATTTCGAATAGAGTTTGAAAATATTACTTCCAGCAATTTGCCTCCAGGATTCTGATACTACACCCGTTTTTAATGACGTGCTAAACAAGTTTGCTAAGGGCATACTAAGTTCTTCCTTACGTTCCTTTAATACTCTGTCAAATATTTCATCGGGACCAGGTGACTTATTTGGCTTTAGTTTATCCATTTCTTCACGAACATCGTTACTGGTCACTGTAGAAAAAATCATGCTATTTAACGCTGCTTAAGACGTAATATAATAAGTTATAGTAATAGAAATACCAATGTTATTATTTCACTTCGTCTATGAACACAGACAGGAAAGAATTTTTATTATGTATAAAGTATAAGGAGAGTTGAGACAGGTGTTACTGTGACTCGGGTTGATTTCATTGGCTATGAAAGTCAAGCCTAATGTAATCACTAAAACACATTTAATGATAGTATATAAGGTGCCACAGCGGAAGTGTCACTAGCCAATCACAATACATTATTTTAACGGGGAAATATTTCATTGGTTGTAGACTTACTTATATAACCTAAAACTTTTACTGTGTGACTCACCTGCCGTTGTGTGACCCACCTACTGTCGTGTGACCCACCTGCTCTTGTGTGACCCACCTGCCGTTCTGTGACCCACCTACTGCTGTGTGACCCACCTGCTGGGACTGGTTGCCGGCCATTGAGGAAGCCATAGCAGCCAGGCCGCTGAAGATGTTGAGGGCTGTGGGTGCCCCTGGGCTGGGAGGAGGCATCGGGGCCGCCATGATGGAGGGCATGCCAGGGGTGAGGGTACTGCTGCCCTCCGAGGACGCTGGCTGCTCGTTCTTGGCCCGAGAGGAAAGACGCCGCCGACAGATACTGCAGTTCCATTTCTCCTGTAGTAGTAATAGTAGTAGTGGTTAGTAGTGGTAGTAGTAGTAGTAGTACGTAAGACTTAGATTCTCTTTCAGCCTGCCCCTGGTTCAGACACACCTCCACCATCCATAAATCCAGCTTAACGGTACTACCCTCTCTAACGTTACCCACTTCCAGCACCTTAGCTCCCACCTGTCCACCACCGCGGACTTAGATGAAGATCTTAAACATCGGATCAGATGAGCATCTGAAGCCTTTGGCGGACTCTGAAACCGTGTCTTCAGCTGTAGGGAGCTGAAATTATCTACAAAGTTGCCTGGCAGCGAGACATGGGTCATAGACAGGAGGCACCTCAAGGCACTTGAAAACTTTCACCAACGTAGTCTACGTTCCATCCTCCGTGTTCGCTGGGAAGAGAAGAGAACAAATGCCAGTATTCGCGTTGACACAACTGTAGGAGCATTGAGGCTACCATTATCCATGAACAACTACGTTGGACTGGACATGTTACCCGCATGGACGACAGTCGACTGCCAAAGCAGTTACTTTACAGTCACCTAACGAATAGTAAACGTAACGCCGGTGGGCAACTGAAAAGGTATAAGGATAGTCTTAAGACAAACCTGAAAAGTACCAAATCGACCCCATCACCTGGGAGACGATCACTCCACACCGTAACGCCTGGAGGAGCACACACGAGAAGGTGTCAATACTTTCGAGTTAGCCCGACTGCATTCCGAGGCAGACCAGCACCGCAAAGACGCTGCCGCCGCCCTTCCCGCACTAGATGTAGCCCTCCACACGTGCAGCATCTGTGGACGGCCCTGCCATTCCCGTATTGGCCTCTCTAGTCACCTCAGAGGTCACCAACGAAGGTGTCATCCTTAATAACTCATAACATTGAATCATAGCTGGATGATCGTCATACTAGATTCCGAGTGACAGCAAAGAAATACAGGTAGTAGTAGTACTAGTAGTAGTCGTAGTAGTGTGTGTGTGTGTGTGTGTGTGAGGGAATGTATATGTGGTGTGAAACATTGTACTACATTCCCAACATACAAACGAAATCCTCCATCCCTACACCATAAAGCACTGTGGTGGACCAGTGTACGTGTGGGTTGGTGTGTGTGTGTGTGGGAGTGTGTGTGTGTACGTGTGTGTGTGTGTGTGTGTGTGTGTGTGTGTGTGTGTGTGTGTGTGTGTGTGTGTGTGTGTGTGTGTGTGTGTGTGTGTGTGTGTGTGTGTATGTGCTTGACTCCCTCGGCTCTCAGGGGAATCAAAAGATTCCTATTTGACAACAATATTTGCTTCGCGAATTCCAAAGTTTGCTCGGGGGAGTGTGTACCAAATTCCCTCACCTTGGTTCCCCTCTCCCTCCTACCATCCACAGCCCTGGATCTGGCAGCCTCATGAATACGTGTTTATAAGGTAAATATTTACTTGTGAAACTTACATACAAAATCTGGGGATCGAGCAGAGGCGTGCGTATTGACTTCACCATAGGAGGGAGAGGGAGTGGGAGGGGGTGAAGGGAAGGGGGGAGGGTGATAGAGGGGAGGGGGAAGGGAGAGGGCGGGAGGTTTTGCAATCATACAGGAATTAGTAGTTACAATGGTGTGATGAGGAAGTGAAGTGAGAAGAACCACCATTAGCCCCTGAGAATCATAGGATTTCTTGACCTCTCTCTCTCCTCTCTCCCTCTCTCTCTCTCTCTCTCTCTCTCTCTCTCTCTCTCTCATTGTGGCCGAAGTGAAAGCTAATTGGTAAAAGTATTATTATTCGTGGCTTCAAGACCGGCAATGTTAAAATGTCGTAAAAGAGATGAAAATCCATTAGCGTAACAATACACACACACATTGTTTGAGTCAACACACTGTCAGTACTGTGTGTGTGTGTGTGTGTGTGTGTGTGTGTGTGTGTGTGTGTGTGTGTGTGTGTGTGTGTGGCCATAAATGATAGGTAGTGAAGGGAGGATTTTAAATTATTTTGGGTTCCGGTATCGACCACACTGCACCATAAAGGGAAAAAAAAGTTTAAACACACACACACAAAAAAAAGTGAAAACATGAAAAAAGGGAATAAATTTTATTTTATAACTATTGAATCGGCTTATACATATTCCCTGTTGCATACATTTGCATATGCACTAGAGAGAGAGAGAGAGAGAGAGAGAGAGAGAGAGAGAGAGAGAGAGAGAGAGAGAGAGAGAGAGTATCGTTTGTCAGCTTTGTGTAAATAGGGAAATATTTGTAACAGTTTTTTTTATGCCACCAGTATGAACCCGGGGGAGTGTTGATGAGCTTTTGTCTGCTTCTGTCTGTCTGTCTGTATGGCTGTGTATATATCTGTCTGTCTGTCTGTCTGTCACCCACTTGAGTACAAAGTTCTAAATCTGATTAATTTTTGAAGTTCGATGCGTCACTTCCATAGATAGATAGATAGATAGATAGATAGATAGATAGATAGATAGATAGATAGATAGGTAGATAGATAGATAATGTTTCGACTATAACGTTTGGCCGTGAGTGTGTGTGGGGATAATTAAGCGAAAAATTAATAATCCAATTAGAGTGAAATACTTTTGGGTTGACAGGTAGAGCGATGGTAGGGGTGTATATGTCTCCTGAGGTACTTTATGAAGACGATGGTTTAACTTCTTTGAGGACGATGGTTTAACCGTTTAGAGGGCAGGGGTTTAACTGCTTTGAGGACGATGGTTTTAACCGTTTGGGGCAGAGGATTGCTCTTGGCTGAATAACATCGTCTGGTTTTTGTAAGAATAAATACCTAAGGGTTAAACCATCGGCCTCAGAGGGGTTAAACCATCGTCCTGAGGGGGTTAAATATACATGTGTTATTATTAATTATTATTATTAATATTATTATTATAAACAAAAAGCTTTTATTCTTTTTCTTTTTTCAATACATACACAATTTCAGTCGTCCATTCCCTCCCTGTATAGTCAATGTATAAATGACCATCACTCTTCCGTATTTCAGCATTAAGTGAGTGAGCAACATTTTGGTGTACGCTAAGCCGCTTACCTGACCTCACAATAACTGTACGAGGCACCACATTTATCATTGTTCTCTATATGTTACTAATGGTATGGTGTATGATGCTGCATAGCGTTATTCTGTGTAATAGTTTGGTGTGTATATGTGTGTACTGAGTGTATATAATGGTTTTATGTGTAAATATGTATGGTGTTGTATATTGTTGTTATTTATGTATGTAAATATGTATGATATAAACATGTATACTGTCATGTTTATCTTTGTATATAACTGTGAAATATGTATGTTTATGTGTATACAGTAGAAGTGTAGACAAATATATGATAGTATATTATGGTATACTTACAGGCGAACTGTCTCACAACGCTTTGGTTATCAGTAATTAAGGACCAGTCTTTATCCTCCTATAATCTTGACCTTCTTTGACCTTTAACTGTGACCTTGACCGTTGACCTTCACCTGTGACCTTAACCTGCGTCCTTCAGCTGTGACCTTAACCTTTGATCTTCAGCTGTGACCTTAACCTCTGACCTTCAGCTGTGACCTTAATCCGCATCCGTCAGCTGTGACCTTAACCTTTGACCTTCACCTGTGACCTTAACCTTTGACCTTCAGCTTTGACCTTAACCTTTGACCTTCAGCTTTGACTTTAACCTCTGACCTTCAGCTGTGACATTGATCTGGTGTTGTTCGCTCGGTGTGATGATGCTACCACTGCGAGGACCCAATATACCTGTACAGTGTGTGTGTGTGTGTGTGTGTGTGTGTGTGTGTTCATACGAGAGGTGGTCCCGGGCCTTTGTGTGTGTATGGATGTATGAATGTATAGTTTATGGTGCAACGTTGCTTCATATACTTGAACACAAGAAAATAGTTTCATATGTTTGTAAAGCCCCCAAGCTCTTTACTGCCCTCTAAAACACATAATTGTCCACACCTCCTCCTCCCTCCTCCCCTCCCCCCTTACTCCCTCTCCCTCCCCTTACTCCTCTCCTCCCCTCCCCCTTCCCTTCTCCCTCCCCTCCCCTTCCCTTCTCCCTCCCCTTCCCTTCTCTCCCTCAATCCTCCCTCCTCAGCTAAACATGAGAGAGAAATAAACAAAAATACCTACCTACTACAACATGATCCATAATTATTATTATTATTATTATTATTATTGTTGTTATTATTACTGTGCTTGTTTGTTTATCTTTCTCACGGTGTAACAACCAACAAAACAAGAGAGACTATCAATTGAATACATTACGACTTGAATATTAATATCTGTCTACCTATCTGTCCATCTATCTATCTATCTATCTATCTATCTATCTATCTATCTATCTATCTATCTATCTGTCCATCTATCTATCTATACTATGTTACATACCTGACCACTAATGAGACACACTCACCTGTTCACCATCCGAGGAGTGCGTAGAGTAGGAGGCGCAGTCTTCACACACTTTATTCCCGCACTCTGAACACACCTTGAAGAACTCCGAGTCCTTTAGAGTCTGTGAGAGATAAAGAAACACTGTATTCAACGCACTTTAGGAAATTCTTTAAATAGGTGTTTCATAATACAGGTAAATATGTCGTTTGTATTGACTTCATTTGACTGAATTGATTAAAATATTAAGTGAGAGTCAATGATTCTTAACTTAAATTCTAAAAAAAACAAACATGAACTTTGACCCAGCCCCGTGACCTATGACCCAGGACACCCCCCCCCCCCACACACTTACCTTAACACAGACCCGACAGGAGGACCCAGGTGACCTCTGAGAGCGGGCGGAGAGGACGATGGCAGTAGGTGTTGGCTCGCCCTGCTTGCCGCCACTTGGGGAGGATAGAGGAGACAGGCCGCCCGCTCCTCCCGATCCACCGATGATTCCTACTGATGGGGCCGTGGGCGTGGTGATGGGCGGTGCTTTACTGAGGGGGTTGGGTGGGGGTGAGGGTGGAGGAGAAAGAAGAATTGTTAGTGTTATTGAGTTGTGATATTACGGTTTTATATTATTTTTATCTGTTGAGAAAATGGTTTTAATATATTATGTTAGAAATATAGTTACAGTCACAGGAATAGTTTGAAATACAGTTACAAATACAGTTACATGTAGTTATAAGTATATATACGAATACAGATACTAATGCAGGTTGGTACATGTGCAGTACAGGTACATTTGTCCAATAAAATGTCATATTATTTTTGTCTCATTCGGTCTATAAAAAAAATGCTGGTCATCATGAGACAGCATTTATTTACTTTCAATATATCCAACAAATGAATCGTCTACGCTGGTAATTAATGATGTACTTAACCGTGTAAAGTACTAACATCAGAAAACAATACATCCGTAGAAAAATGAATTGAATATATACAGAAAATATTATGACATGTAGACAATATCCAACTCATGAAGGCTGGAGCGTTGATGATAAAAAATAGATGTTTTTTTTATCATGTTATGTTCAACGAGCTAATAATCACTGTTGTGTCCCAGGTGATGAGAAACATACTGCCATGGTTACTGTCACTCATTTATCACCTGTTTGATGAAGCGAAAAGTATTTAGTGAAAAACTCTGGCTAATTATTTTTTTATAGCCATTTTATTTGATCGATGAAGAGTGATATAAATATTCTCAATTTCAATGAACACAGAAGATCTTTAAGTACAGGTACAGGTGTGTGTGTGTGTGTGTGTGTGTGTGTGTGTGTGTTTCTATACGAGCTTTCTCCTGTTGCTTGCTATATCTTTATTGGTCTTTATTTTTCTCTATATTTTTCTGTCCTTTCTCTCTTACATTCTATACCTTTATTGAGGATTTTTCTCTTCTCTTTATTTCTCTTTTATCATATTATTTTTCTACTCTCTCCACTTTCTCTGTATATATCATCCTTCTCTCTACTTTAATCTCTCCTCCACTCTCATAAGTTTATCATATTGCCTTCTATACCTTTCCTAATTTTCTTGTTTCTCTTCTCTATCTTTTCTTTTCATCCTCGGTTATTCCTCTGTTTCTCGGTCCGACTTAGACACAAGACAACAAACAGAAGAAGACAGAAAAGTTGATTGTTTTCATTTGTGTCTTTCCCTGCGTATTTTTTCTCAGGTGACCGAGACAGGTAGAGATGGATTACCTAATTAGTCTCACTAGTGTTGATACCTGTCCGTGTGTTTGTGTCTACGTTTGTGTGTTTGTTTTTACGTTTGTGTGTTTGTTTTTACGTTTGTGTGTTTGTTTTTAACCTAACCTAACCTAACCTTAACCAGATACATTCATTAACTAGGTAGTACGTTCACTTAGCATCAGTTAAGGACATATTCCACTTATGTAAAATTTTCAGTCGATAATGATGTTTAATTTTGGGGGGAATGTTAAACCCTCCCCCTTCCCCTCCCCACCCTCCCCCTTCCCCCACCCACCTCACCCCCCACCTCAACCCCCCCACCACCTTCCCACCCCCCCACGGTCAGGTAAATTCATACATTCAACAGTTTCAGGAAATTACACTAAATATTTATTATACGAAACCTTTGTGAAATTTGGAATCTGTACTTGACATAAAATCCGATTGGATGTTTTTTTTGTTTTTGGAGATTGTACAGGATAATTGAATGTTGTTGTTGTTGTTGTTGTTGTTGTTGTTGCCGGTACACATGTTGTTGTTTTATGGCGAGTGACGGCAGACAGTGTGAGTTGATTATACGCGAAGCAAATTAACGTGAGGCAGCAATTTGGGAGTTTGTTATGAGTTCTTGTTTCTGGTGGATGTCTGTCTGTCTGTCTGTCTGTCTGTCTGTCTGTCTGTCTGTCTATCTATCTATCTATCTATCTATCCAATCTTAAGGTCAACTCACCATTATGACTCATTGTTGCTTGACCTATTTCCTTGTGTAGGTTAGGTTTGGTTAAGTTGGGATTGAAGTTGGGTTGAGTTGGAGTGTCTCCTAAATAGTGTAAGTGAAAGATACTAAATATTACTGACAGCTACAACACTTAAAACAACAACTGTAAACACAAAAGACAACAACAACAACAACAAAAACAAAACAACAGTAAAACAACAAAAAACAAACAAAAACAACAAACTATAAACAAAAACAATAACAAATAAAAAAGATTACCATAAAACAACTTCACTACTTCACATCATTTACTCTTAATCCTGTTCCGCCTCTCTCCTGTACAGTGACTTGACAATCCATCATCTTCCTTCCTCCTCCACCCACACACACACACACACACACACACACACACACACACACACACACACACACACACACACACACACACACACACAAACAAACCCCACACTTTTTCCCCTCTCAGCTCAGCCAGAACTCCATCTGTCACCTCTCTCTCTCTCTCTCTCTCTCTCTCTCTCCTACCCTTACATCATCACCGCCTCCCAACGCACTTCACTCCGCCTCCCCATCTGACCAAGAGACACTACACACACAGCTCTCAGATATTCAATTTCCATCTGTCTGTTACCACTTTGTTTCTCTCTCTCTCTCTTACTTTTGTGTGGCGTGGAGGATGGGGGCACAGAAACCGCGAAGAAAGGGTGTGTAGGAGAGAGAGAGAGAGTGAGAGTGAGAGGTGAAGGGAATGGTTTTAAAGTTAGGAGGTGAAATTGAAAACTATTGACGCACAAAAGGTTCATATAGTCAGTTTATTGTTGTATCTCAAGTTGTTGTTACGCACTATGGTATTATTTCTTTCCAATTGATTGCCATGGATTCTAAGCCTCTTCTCCCCTCTTCCTCGTTCTTCTCCTTCCTCCCCTTTCTTCCCCCTCCCCTTCTACCCCCAGAAAAACAGAGAGTAAACCAGGAGACACACCCCACCACCCCCCACCACCCCTCCCCACCTTCCTTCCTCTTTGACAGACCTTAATAGCCAGTTTCGCCCTCTCCCTCCCCTCCCCCTCCCCTTCACTTCCTCTCCCCCCTTCCCCTCTTCCTCCCTATTCCTTCCCTTCCCTCCTCCCTTCCCACTACTCCTCTCCCTCTCCTCCTCTGCCTCCTCCTCCTTTTCCCCTTCTTCCCACCCCTTTCCTCCTTCCCCCTCCCCTTCTTCCCACCCCTTTCACTCCTTCCCCCTCCCTTCTTCCACCCCTTTCCACTCCCTTCCCCTCCCCTTTCCCCTCCCCTTCCCCTCCCTTCTTTAAGTTCGTCATAAAGGGTTCCTCATCCGCCCCCTTCAGCGATGAGAAATTACCAATAGTGTTTGGTCTAGGGGCCGGAGCGTGACGACCACGATCCTTAACGATAAAAGTCAGCTGTTGTCAGTTTCTATTAGGGAGTTACCTTACCTTCACTCTCATCCACTCCCTCTCCTCCCACTCAACCCACCCCCCACTTGCCCCTCTTAACCACCACTCCCCTCACCCCTCCCTCTCTTATCAATCCCTCTCCTCTCTCGGTGATAGGTGGGAGGGGAGTGACAGGTAGGAGGGGAGTGACAGGTAGGAGGGGAGTGGCAGGTAGGAGGTTAAGGTTAGGCTAGGCTAGGTTAGGGTAGTAAGGTTAGGTGCTTACAGGTCATGGGAGTATCGTGTTTACAGGTCATGGGAGTATCGTGCTTACAGGTCATGGGAGTATCGTGTTTACAGGTCATGGGAGTATCGTGCTTACAGGTCATGGGAGTATCGTGTTTACAGGTCATGGGAGTATCGTGTTTTGAGTCGCATGAAATGTATCGTGTTTAGTGTTAGGAGTATCGTGTTTACAGGTCATGGGAGTATCGTGTTTACAGGTCATGGGAGTATCGTGTTTACAGGTCATGGGAGTATCGTGTTTACAGGTCATGGGGGTGTTTCTTGGCCTGAGCGGTGGGAAGTTTACTATTTATGCATAGTTTTGACGTGAGGTTTTTTTTTATCTTAACTTTATTAATCTAAAAAAAATAATCCTTTGTTCTTTTTCTTAACTTCTCATTCGTAATTAGTCAAACAACCGGAGACTCTTATTGTTGTCCCATTTGTTATTGTCATCTTTACTCTTCCTCTTCTTCTCTTCTGTCATGTTGTCTTGAAAATTTCCCACCAAATCTTTTAAGTCAACCGATCTGAGTGAAACTGTGTATTGTTACATCTTAATGAGGCGGTGTGCCAGAAGGTTAAATTAATTCTTCTTTGTCATAGGTCAGGGTCACAGGAAGGTCATTAAGGGTCAACACCTCATCCCTCGTCGTGTATGTTATTTCTGTAGCTATATTGTACATGTATTTTGGTGAAATTTCTAAATGTATAGTCGCCTGCACTTACACCTGGTACAGAGTCTGGCCGCGTTTTGTGAGATGTGGCACCACTGTGTTTGTTTACATCGTATTAAAACTCCCGGAATGGCCTTGAGAAGCTTCACAATAATACCCAGACGAAGGATACTTGATAAGCATTCCACAGAGTTGCCACATCTTACAAAACGCTCCAGCCACTGTACCAGAAATAAGTGCAGGCGACTGTACAGTAACAGTGAGTGAAGACCACAATACTGAATTCAATATCAGTGGTGAAGTTCACAGCTGAAGGTCAAAGATCATAACCTTGTCCAGATGTCCAAAAAATGTTCACATTGTATTATTTCGGCAATGTGAACTGTTGTCATCACAGTATTCACTTTATTTTTCATGACATCAGTTTTGATACAAAAATGTGTTTGCTGAAAATGGAGATTCACGCAATTTAGTGACATGCAATTTTTAGCTATTACAGCAAGTCTGCACTTGTCTTTGTTACTGACTCACTCACTCACTGCCGGAGAAAAATTCTTTTCTCTCTGGTGTTCAACTGTGACTCGTTAAAACCAAGTAATTTCCCCCTCATAAAATTAATTTAATTAGAATTAGTTGTGCCATCAGCACTATACTTGCCTTTGTCACTGATGATTAATGTCGCTCATTCACAGAGATAAAATAAATATTTTTCCACGTGTGCAGCGTACGAGCATCTCTTACTAGCTGGTGAAAACACATTTATTTTACTCAAGTTTGGGGAGACTTCCTCTGACGTTTGTAAATTAAATCTGTAGTGTGCTTTATCTTCATCTCAAAAATGTTCCTTGGCGCTGGAAGAGAGGCTTTGTAGAATTGTGTGAGCGTTGTTTACGAGTCTTTTAACGGTGATGTACCTCGGGCAGGTAAAAGTGTCCTGTTTACTCGCTCAAACAAACATTTTTAACATTCTTCATCTGTCAGTCTCTAAGTTTTCTTTCGCGATGTGTGTGTGTGTATGTGTGAGTCATGAACATATCCTTTGATCACGTGAGATAAAAATACCTCAAGTATATTCACAGCAGAAGAAGGAAAATGACCTTAGTGTTGATGGATAGTGAGAGAGGAAGGTGACTGAATGTGACACTCATCGACCTCCCTCAGTATGGTGTTCCCAATAGCTCTTTAGATTATTGTATTATGTTTCTTTATGACTTATTTCCTTTAATTGAGCTTTTGGGGCTTATTTTATCGCTTCGGCACAGAGAATTGAGCGAATGAACCTATTATAGACGATCGTATTCCATTCTCAAACAAAACACTTTTTAGTCACCTGCGAAAAAATCAAACACAAATTGGTTTTAAATTGGACTGGGGCCTATTAAGACTGGCAGCTATTCGGACTATAGGGCCTATTAGGAAGGTTTATCGGAACTAGGGGCTATCAAGTTCAGAGACTATCAACACTGTGGTCTGAGATTGGAACTTTTTAGAACTGGGGTGGAATCAGGAGCCTATTAGGACTGAGAGCAAGACAAAACTCTATCTCTCTTTTATATTTTCTCTCCTTCTCTCTCTCCATTTTCATTTGCTTCTATTTTCTCTCTTTTCCTTCATTCATTCGTTCTTACATCTCCCCCTCCTTATAAACCTTCCTCCCCCTCCTTCTTTCTCTCCTACAATTCTTCTTCCCTCCATACACTCTCCTCCCTCTGTCCTGCCCCTTTCGTTCCCTCTCCCCTTTCCTCTCCTTTCCTCCCAGTATCCTTCCTTCTCTGATTTACTTTCCTCCCTGTTTTCCTCTTTCCTTCATTCCCTCCCTACCCTCCCTCCCACCCACCTCCCCCTCCCTCCCTCCTCCCTCCCTCCCTCCTCCCTTCTCTCATAACCAAAGCAACTTTGACATGAATAGACGAAAAAAAAAAAAGAATAAAAAGAGAAGTTAAAAGAAAAATTAAGTGACTTGGGTGAAAGAATGAGTTGAGATGGGGACAATGAAGAAGAAAACAGGAGGGGAAAGGAAGAAGAAGTTATTGGCTGGCTGAAAGGGAGACTATGATTGGTTCTTGCATAAAAGGTTAGATCTGTGACAAGGAGAATGAAGGAAGGAAGGAAGGAAGGAAGGATACAATGGTCCGTGATAATGGAAGTGAGGCAAGCGTGTGTACAGCTACTGGTTCCCTCCCTCTTGTTCACATGCACACACGCAGGCAAGGACACGCACACGTACATAAATAGGTATATATACGTTATAGGGACACACACACACACACCGTCTCTCACACCACATGGCCAGTACAAGGACAGAACCAGGCAGTGTGGTGTAGTCGTGGCCAGAATTAGACTATAAGAGACATACACATCAGAGTTAGTGAGGCTGTACCCATACCTTAATACTCAGCGTGTAAACTGTGTGATAAACCTTTATGCTTTATACTCGTGAACTATACAATGTGATACTGTACCATGAATTATGTCACTACCACACTGAATCAGGAGTCTTTGAGGATATTCTGGCAGTTTACCTTAATTTACAAGTCCACACTGATTAGCCCTCAATTATAACACTAATGAATATGAGCCAACTCTATGATTTGCTCTTGTGTATGAACCTCTGTTCAGTGTGGCAGTGAGCAGGCGAAGTGAAGTGTTGAAATAATTACATGGATCTCTCTCTCTCTCTCCTTCCCTAGTCCTCTGTCTTTGCATCACACTCCATCCTCCTCTCCACCCTCCTCACTCCCCGTCTTCCTCTCTTTCCTTAACTCTTATCTTTCACTTCCTTATAATTCTTTATTCTTCCTAACACTCTTCCTCCTCCTCCTCCTCCTCCTGCTCAACACCATTCCTCGTCCTGTGTGTGTGAGTGTGTGTGTGTGTGTGTGTGTGTGTGTGTGTGGTGTTCCTATGGGAAATAAGAAGGCTAAGGGGTAAGGGTAATGAGGTCAGGTCAGGCAGGAGCTGACACGGTAATATGATATTCACCGTTCCTAAGAGAGCTCTCCCACCTCCCTCCTTCCCTCCCTCTCCTACCTCCCTCTGTCTCGCCTTCCTTTTGCAACCTCCCTCCCTCTCCCCTTTCTCTCCCACCTCTCCCGCTTTTCCCCCTCCCTCTTTTTCCTTTCTTCCTCTCTCTCATCATCTCCCTTTTTCCTATCTCCCTCTCCCTTCCTTTCCCACTGCCCTCCCTCTCTCCTCCCTTCCTCTTCTACTACTCTCCTTCCTTCTCCTTCCTTCCTCTCCCCCTCTCCTCCTCTCCCACCACCCTCCTTCGCTTTTTCTCCCTCTTCCACCTCCCTCTCTCCTTCCCTCATGCAACTAATTTTCCTCCTCTCAGGTTCAGTTAATTTTCTTCATAAAAAATTAACTCATCCTCCCCAAAATATCAGCCCAGTATTGCTCTTTGACTCAACTTAATTTTTACTCCCTAACTAAAAAAATAAAAATATATATATAAAAAAATCATTATAGTAAATCTGCGTAATATATTTTCTTTCCTGACTCAATTAATTTTCAACATTAATTTAACATTTTACTCAACATATCAACTAATTTTTATCTGAATTTCTCTACATTGTCTAATTAACTATTTTTTTCCCAACACATCTCAACTAATTTCCCTCCCCAAATCAAATAATTTTCCTCTGAGCTCTTCATAAAATTGTATCATTAACTAATTTTCCCTACATATCAACTAATTTCCCTCCATCAATAAATTACTTTCCTAACTCACCAAACTTTATCATTAATTACTTTCCCTTTCTAAATCAACTAATTTTCCTCCCCAACTCAGCTAATTTTCCTCCTGCGACGAGAGATAATAAAAATGACTCGGCCATTGTCACTGTCAGAGAGACATTTTGGCATGAATTTAACCTATTATTATTATTATTAGTAGTAGTAGTAGTAGTAGTAGTAGTAGTAGTAGTAGTAGTAGTAATAGTCTTTTATGGTCTCTGGGCTCTTCATCTTCCTACTTTCTTCACTTTTCTTCCCTTCTCATTTTCTCCTCGTCTTCCCTCTCTTCTTCTCTTCCCTTTTCTTCGTCTTCCTTCTCTTCCCGCCTTCCTTCTCTTCTCTAACCTTCTCTCCTCCTCTTTCTTCTCTCCTTCGCCTCTTTCATTTCTCCCTTTCCTTCTCTTTTCCTCTTTCTTCTCTCTTCATCTTCCTCCCCTTCTATGTCTTTCTTTCTTCCTTCCTTCCTTCCTTCCTTCCTTTTCTCCTTGGCATCATTTATCATCACTCTTCATCCGTCAAGTATTTAATTACCTCCCTCCTCCTCCTCCTCTCTCTCTCTCCGTCTATTCCATTCCTTTATCCCCCTCCCACCTTATCTACCCCTTTCCCCCCTCTATGTCCTTATTCCTCTCCCTCTCTCCCACTGCTCTCCTCCCTCCCATTCTCTCTTTTTACTCTCCTCTCCTCCCTCTCTCTCCCTCCCTGACCTATACCTGCTCCTTCCTCACTTGTTGATTCAAGAGCCACGTCCCGACTAATAAAGTCCCCCTCCAAGACCATCGAGTACGACCACAGGAGGCAAGTTATAAGGTCCACCTCCAACTCCAGTCATACTTAAAACACCCTCAATACACCACAACACCCACAATACACCACAACACCCTCAATACACACAACACCCTAATACACAACACTCAAATACACAACACCCTCAATACACCACAACACCCTCAATACACCACAACACACAATACACCAACACCCTCAATACTGCACCACAACACCCTCAATACACCACAACACCCACAATACACCACAACACCCACGATACACCACAACACCCACAATACACCACAACACCCACAATACACCACAACACCCACAATACACCACAACACCCACAATACACCACAACACCCACAATACACCACAACACCCACAATACACCACAACACCCACAATACACCACAACACCCACCATACACCACAACACCCACAATACACCACAACACCCACAATACACCACAACACCCACAATACACCACAACACCCTCAATGCCACCCTGGCACCACAATACACCACAACAACACCACAATACACACAACACCCTCAATACACCCCTAGCACCCACAATACACCACAACACCCACACACCCCAGCACTTTAATACACCACAACACCCCTCAATACACCACAACACCCACAATGCCTAACACCCTCAATACACCACAACGCCCACAATGCACAACACCCACAATACACCACAACACCACAATACACCCACAATACACCACAACACCCACAATACACCACAACACCCACAATACACCACAACACCCACAATACACCACAACACCCACAATACACCACAACACTCACAATACACCACAACACCCACAATACACCACAACACCCACAATACACCACAACACCCACAATACTCACAATATCCGGGCGTCAGAAGGGTCAAAGCGCTCGCTCTTGTCCCACACCTTCTGCAGTAGTGACCTCTCCTCGGAAGACACCGCCGACGACTGCACCACCCCCGCTGACGACGATGACGATGATGACGATAACGATCCCTCGGGGTTTGTGGCGGGCGGTGGCCTCGTCGGGGACAACTTCGTCACTGGAATGGGAATACCGCTTGTTACTTTGAGTGGGAATGAGAATATCACCTGTTGCTTAAGTAGGAATGGTAATGTTATCTGTTATTTGAGTGGGAATGGGAATACCAATTTTTACTTGAGTGGGAATGGGAATAGAAACATTCAAGCCACTGGGTGAAACATGTCCCTGTTACTGGCATAACAAGACAAACGTTCCTGACGCTGGAATGGAATGGAAGTCCTCCATTTAGCGTAGTGGAAATGAAAGTCTCCTGCTTCTGGAATGGGAATATTTCTGTGACAGGGAAGAGGGCCATCCTGCCTCCAAGTTGTGATTATGAGAGAGAGAGAGAGAGATTTCCGTCGTAGGAACGAAATTAAGCACGTTTTCATCTCCGTAGATAACAGGCACACACACACACACACACACACACACACACACACACACACACACACACACACACACACACACACACACACACACACACACACACACACACACACAAGGCAATTAAGGATTCAATTGTCACTTAAGTCGTGAGCATTTGTTTTTCGTTTCATTTCTTAAAGAATTGGGTTGACCCCACTGGAGGTGCGTTAATCATGTTTCATTTCATACATATTTCCTCTTATTCTATGTAGTATTTTACCGTGTTGTGTTATGTTATGTTATGTTATGTTATCTTATCTTATTTTATGTTGTGTTACATTATTTTATTGTGGTTACTATTAAGGTGAAGTAAGCTGGGGCTAATGTTCAGGTGTTAAGCTTCATTTAACCATTACCTTCACAATTATCTGCCTTCACGCGTCTCTTATAAACACATCACCCACTGTCATTCGTATCCCATTACCTCATTGGCACGTCACCGTTAAGTGTCCAAACTTTACGAAATTATCGCGGCTGATTAACCTCGTTGACACCTACGCTCCAGTGAGTTTCGTTCACAATCGTTCACCATTCACGATAAAGTAAAGCATCGTTCAGGTGTTCACGTTTCTATTTTGTTTCCATGAGTGAAAATATTGAGATAAAATATTGTGTTATGGTATTGATATGTGTTGTTTATGTATGTGTCAAACAGCTCTTAAGTGCCTAATGATGTGATTGAATAGTTCACAGTGTCTAGGTCGTGAGGAAATGGTTGCCTCACCTCACCGTCTCGAATAATTCAATCATTTGCTTCAGTCTAGGTAACAATGTTAACTGACCCAAGGTACACGACAAATTCTTCTGTGTTAATTCTTTATGGTTCGTGAGATGATGGTGTAAGATCGGTCTAAAATGGCGTATGAATTGTACTAAGACTCTACCTTCACTAGAAACTGTCAATTACCACCATTTTAGGTAATGATAGAGTCTTTGTAAACACTGATTCTCGTGTTTATTCAGGAGGTTCACTGTCTCGAATCACTCCAGAACTAGAGTCATAAGTTTCCCGCCGAGACTTGTTGTTCCGGGATCATATATTAACCTCTGCCAGGACCCCGAGGCTGGCAGAGGTAACTGTGCACTGTGAGGGAGGTGGTGCAGGGTGAGGGGGAGACACAACACTAATATAGTAGTTTGTTATAGTGTGATACAGTGCCTGGTGGTGTGGTTATATAGTGAAATTATTGCCCATCTTCCTTATATAACAATGACGTGTATGGAAAAGTTAAACAGATTATGATAAACCTCTACTAAAGACAATTATTTCGCTTGTACAGTGTTAAAGAGAGACAGTGTAATGGTGAATAAACTGGTGACGCGTGATAGTGAGAGTTGAAACACTATATTGTGAATTAAAAGTGGTTGAAGTGATACAGTGATTCGCTATAGTGTATAACGTTAGTGATATGACTATAATGTTACGGTACTTCACACCGCACTCAAACGTATTAACTAAACATGATGATCAATAACACAAACAGGAACTAGCAGACTATCCCCCATGGAACAGAAACCGCTATTATGTCGACAACTACCCCACGTCACACAAGGTATTCACGTCAAGTACCAAAGTTCTCCTGTGCTATATTGTGAGTAGAGAATAATATAAGCTTAGTTTATTGAAGCCCATCCAGAATCTAATGAGAACTATGGCGATAAATTGTGCTAAGTTTGGTGTAGGTGAGAACTAGAGAGGCCGAGTGTGTGTGTGTGTGTGTGTGTGTGTGTGTGTTTCACTTTTCCTAAACAAGAACCAGAGACTAAAGGGACAGGTATATAAGGGGTAAGATCCAGCTCAGGTGTGGGCGCTTACTACTAATTAACTTAGGATAATGAGGATATATAATTATGTTTGTAGTAATTAGTGGGACCCATTATGAGAGACGATGTATAATTTGTTTCTTTGACTTTATATACGAGGGAGGAGTTTACGTGTCAGGTTGAGTTAGCTTACTACTACTACTACTACTACTACTATTACTACTTACCTTCGCCGCCACTCCATTACCTTCAAATTAAATCTCTAACACTACTAATACTGCACATCTCTTTGTTGTTGTTTATGGGAGTATTTTATTGTTGTTGTTTGTTTTTAAGGGAATGGTTTAAGGTGTTATGTGTAGGAGTCTATCTCAGGTTAATGTGTTGTGTGTGTGTGTGTGTGTGTGTGTGTGTGTGTGTGTGCGTGTGCGTGTGCGTGTGCGTGTGTGTGTGTGTGTGAAGATTACTGTATTTTTCTATAAACTTTTTCTGGGTAGAGATTAGATATATGATTTATTTTATTTCATTTTTTTTTTATTATTATGGAAAAGACTGAACCATTAACCCAAAGTAAGCACACGTATTAACAAAGACAAGCGATCGTTCGTCTGGCGTAGGGTCTATAACCGTCTCTTTGCAGGCTTGAGGGGAACATGAAATCCTGATGTTCGCTTGTGCTGGCAATGACTTCAAAGCTCGTGTATATGCTATTTTAAGATGGAGGAAACGCCAGGAAACGCTTGTGGTGGCACTGTTTCGGCGAGGAGTATAAAGCCAGGCGCTGTTAATCGCTCGTGCTGGTGTTGATAGGGAACGCGATGCATCTGTTTGGGGCCGGGGAGAACACTGAATAGGAGGGAGGGAGGGAAGGAGGGAGAGGGAAGGGAGGGAGGGAAGGAGGGAGAGGGAAGGCGGTGTTGTTGATGTCTTGTACACAAACTCACTATTGTGTAGAGAGAGAGAGAGAGACCACCAAAACACTATAACAGCAACAGGTCAACGGGTGAGCCGCATCAAGCACACAGGTTGGCCTCGACTGCTCAGCCAAATTTGCATAGTCCATAACGCGCGTTTGTTTCTCTGGTCACGGAAACAATTATCGACCATAAAATAAATGGTGCGTCGGATAGACCAGACCAATACCTGGATAATGGTCTATAATGGTTCTGTTAAGTGAGTGACGTACGTGTGTGTGTGTGTGTGTGTGTTGTGTTTACAGGGATGAAAACCGAGTTATGGTCCGTGAGGTTTGGAGTTATGATCTGAAAATTCAGGGTTAGGTTAGGTTAGGTTAGGTTAGGTTAGGTTAGGTTAGGTTAGGTTAGGTTAGGTTAGGTTAATTTTGGTGCTGTGTAAGTTTAGGATTTGTTGGGTTGTCTGTCTGTCTGTCTGTCTGTTTTCTTGTGTCCTGCTGGTGAAGTCTACAGTTTCCTCACAACACAGTCTCTGCCGCCTACCACTCACCTTTAGTTATTAGACCGAGAAAAAAAAAACAATCTTGATTTTCTCTTCGTCTCTTTCTCCCTACTAGCTGTGTTAAGGTCTGTTTCTCTGTCTCTCTGTCTCTCTGTCTCTCTGTGTTACTGTCTCTCTGTCTCTCTGTGTTACTGTCTCTCTGTCTCTCTGTCTGTTCCCCGCTCTCTCTCTGTTTATGTCTCTCTCTCCCTCACACCTAGGTTGCTCAAGCCCAATAGTGAAGGTGTTGGTTGTTCAGTACCTGTATATACGACTCCTCACCTGTACTATCAATTATACGACTCCTCACCTGTACTATCAATTATACGGCTCCTCACCTGTACTATCAATTATACGGCTCCTCACCTGTACTACCAATTATACGACTCCTCACCTGTACTATCAATTATACGGCTCTCACCTGTACTACCAATTATACGACTCTCACCTGTACTATCAATTATACGGCCCTCACCTGTACTATCAATTATACGGCTCCTCACCTGTACTATCAATTATACGGCTCCTCACCTGTACTATCAATTATACGGCTCCTCACCTGTACTATCAATTATACGGCTCCTCACCTGTACTATCAATTATACGACTCCTCACCTGTACTATCAATTATACGGCTCCTCACCTGTACTATCAATTATACGGCTCCTCATCTGTACTATCAATTATACGGCTCCTCACCTGTACTCACCTGTGCTATAAATTATACGGCCCTTCACCTGTATAGCCTCCGAGAGAGAGAGAGAGAGAGGGGTGGTGGGTGGGGGGCGATAAATAATACAAAAGGAAGACACATAATAAAGAAGGAAGAGGGAGAGACGTCAACACTTATCTCTCACTTCAAGAATTCTGTAAAAGACTTTGTGGGGAAAAAAAAAGAGATTAAAATACGTGCGTGTTTTTTTAGTCCTCCCGGAAATTTAATCTACTCATGAATATAACATCAGTCTCTCATAAACAACATCGCTTATTATTCATGTATTCACTTTCAAAATCACTTTCAGGGACGTGGAGAAAGTGTCGCGTGGAGGAGGAGTCGAGATTTATTTGGGGAATGATGTTAAAAACTGCGTTGGGATCATCACAATGGGAGTGAGTGTGTTTGGGATGGGGTGTGTGTTTGGGGTGGGGGGTGTGTTTGGGATGGGGTGTGTGTTTGGGGTGGGGTGTGTTTGGGGGGATTGCTTGGTGGATGGGGTGGGGGTGTGTGGTTGGGGGTGCTGGGTGTGTGGTGGTTTGTGTGTATGTTAGAGGGGGTTGTGGACTGGTGTGTGTGTGTGGGGATGTGGTCTGTGTGTGTGTGTTTGTGTGTGTGTCTGTGATCACATATTACAACAGTTCAACATAGGTTCATAACAGACAATCACAACAATCAAAACGTATCTTAACGGAGGCATCCAATGAGTTCCATAATGAACACTGTTACTCCTGTTGTCTCGGTAGGGTTGTCAAAAGCCTTCGGTCGTTGTGTCATATTTTCTAACACAAAATTGTAAAGAATTTTTTTGACTGTGTGTAGGTACAGTAGCTAAGACAAGTATCTCTACACAATGGGTCCGGATAAATTCCTAAATGATCAATACAGCTTTGCCACAACGTCACCACCATGAACTACGCTACCCATTGTTCCCAAGATACGTGTGAACAATATCCATATAATAACAATACTTACAATGGATAAAACAGAATTTATCCCCTGTAAAAGATATATGACATTTTTCAATATCCATCGTCTGTGGTGTCAAAGTAATTCGTGTGAAATATGCAATGATACTTTTTTGGTCGTGTGTTCAGTTCCTCCCATCACAGATAACTTCCTTCAACAAGAATGAAGTAGAAGAAGATGGATATAACTTATCGATTTACTTCACGACGTCTCTCCATCTCAGCAAACCCTTAGGGAGGTACTGGTGTGTTAAGGGCCTCCATATATCTTCCTTATACTGTATTAGAGTTCCCTTGGGGCGCTCTCTGTGAGTTAAGTGTGTGGCAAGACGTCTCGGGGGAACTCTTGGGGGAAATAGTGTCTCTACCATATAATACCTTCACGGCGCCTGGTATTATTCCACCCTGTCTCCCCCAATATAGTTAACAAGTTTATTGATACCCAGTGCTTACAGGCCCGGGTCCGGCTCTCGCATCATTTCAGCTTGAGTGCCAGGTATGCCAATAGGCTCTGTACAGTATAAACAGTCTTGGCACGCACAGGGTGGATTGGGTCATACTGTACGTGGCCAGTGAACCGCCGCGTGTGACCTAGAATATAAACTAAATCTAAGTTGAGAGTGTTAGCTTAGGTTAGGTTAAGTTTGGTTAGGTTAGACAAAGTTGTACCCGGGTGGTGGTGCGTGAAGAGAATGTTATTGTTGTGATTTTGTCTCTCCTTCGGCACGACTTGTTCTGTTGTTCATTTTCATTTTGTTATTATTATTTTATTTTATCTCCTTATTACTATGTAGCTCCGTCAGGCAGGTCTATGAATAACTGACTGACTGACTGATTGACTTACTGATTATTACTGATTGATTGATTGAGTGTCTGACTGTGATTGACTAACCAGCTGACTGACTGATTGACTAAATGATTATGACTAACTGACTGACCAAATGACTGACTGACTGACTAACTGACTGAGAGAACTTTATACTAGGTCTCTACGATGCTGAAATATATAACTAATTTATTTCCTTTAACCTCTTTTATTACTCAGCTTTATTTATCCTCTACCATTTATCATATCTTTATTCTTCTTCTTGTTTTATTATTATATTCTCTTCCTTTTTCTTTGTATTTCAAGTCTTTATTCTCTCTTTCATGTCTCAGGTTTATTACTCTCTGTTCACGTGTCTTGTTATTGCTGTTTTTGTTTCTCCTTATTCGCTAATTTTGGTTCTGTTTATTCCACGTTTATCTCTCTCTCTCTCTCTCTCTCTCTCTCTCTCTCTCTCTCTCTCATCAGTTATTTTTTCCGGTCTTCCCTCTTTGCCTCTCTTTCATCTCTATCCCACGTGCTTATCAACGCACCAAAGACTGTCCTCACCTTCCTCCTCCTCTTCCCTTCCTCCTCCTCTTCTCTTCCTCCTCTCCTCTTCCCCTTCCTGCACCTCCGGGATATACCTGACGGTCATTAATGTTCTTCTTCATCACTGTCTCTACCTCCTCCTCCTCCTACTACTACTACTACTACTACTACTACTACTACTACTACTACTACTACTACTACTACTACTACTACTACTACTACTACTACTACTACTACTACCACCTCTTTCTCCTCCTCTTACTAACTCCTCTTCCTCCCACCACTACCAAACACCGGCCACCACCACACTGCCAACCCAACCTAACCTAACCTAACTCACACATCAGTTAAGAGTCTCAGTGTCATTTTAGCCCTTATCCGTTGCTAAGTTAAGACAGGATCTCCGGGTTAATGTTCAGTGCATTTATGGATATTATATTTGTGTTTTAACCTCCAATAACTTGCACGAAAGGTTGGGTTAGGATCGTTTTGAATCTTGATGCTGTCGGGTGTGTGTGTGTGTGTGTGTGTGTGTGTGTGTGTGTGTGTGTGTGTGTGTGTGTGTGTGTGTGTGTGTGTGTGTCTGTGTGTGTGTGTGTGTGTGTGTGTGTGTGTGTGTGTGTGTGTGTGTGTGTGTGTGTCTTTAGGTTTAGGTGTAGGTGTTTGGCGACCTGTGGTGTAATGGTCAGCATGCTCGCCTCGCAAGCGAGTGGATCCGGGTTCGATTCCCTGGCATTTGCCCTTGTCTACCCAGCAGTAATTGGGGACCTCGATGTTAATCGATTTGCGGATCGTGTTCCGGAGTAATGGTTAGCCAGTGCAGTTGGCGAGTTGTCCGGTCTTCTCGGACTATTCCTTGACACTGGGTCATGCAGCTCGTTAACACAGGGTGTGGTTGTTGTGTTGGCGACAGCTTCTACACCCTAAACAAATTCACGTCTAGGTGGCCCTTGGGCCGGCCATCCTCGTTACACGAGGGGCAACCACCATTATTAGGTGAGGGTGTGGGTGTTCGTATAGGTGTAGGTGTTCGTGTAAGTGTGGATGCAGGTGTAGGTGGGGGTGTAGATGTATTCCTTCATCTTGCAGTATGAGGTCAACAACCAGTGATAATTTTCGTTCTTACACCCAAACAATTACCATTGGTTCACTTGTGTCAGGTCCAGGATCCATATATATTTTTTTTTGGCCACGTGTTCGATGCCGCCTGAAGCCAATTGACTTTCAACAATTCTTCCTGTGTTATGTTTTCGTTTATCAAATTTATTACCGTCGATTTCACCCGTCGGCCGTCGCCACCCGTCGGCCGTCGCCACCCGTCGGCCGTCGCCACCCGTCGGCTGTCGCCCTCCAATTTTCTTGGAATTTTTGCAGCGGGAATTAATGACTCGTGCGTGACAGATGGAGGCCCTGGCTACAAGAGATTTTCAGCTCACTCACTCCTCAAGCAACACCTGGCCCAGCGGAACAGTTTCACACAGAAATTTATTGACTTTACTTAACACTTGATCTTAGGCGAGGAGAATTTTGTTTTAATACATATTTTTTCTAAACCGAGTTATATTTAAGTGTTTTATTGTCTATCTTGATATTGAAGGGGGTAAGTCAACGTTCTGAAGGGGCTAAGTCAACGTTCTGAAGGGGCTAAGTCAACGTTCTGAAGGGGCTAAGTCAACGTTCTGAAGGGGTTAAGTCAACGTTCTGAAGGGGCTAAGTCAACGTTCTATAGGGGTTAAGTCAACGTTCTGAAGGGGCTAAGTCAACGTTCTATAGGGGTTAAGTCAACGTTCTGAAGGGGCTAAGTCAACGTTCTGAAGGAGCTAAGTCAACGTTCTGAAGGGGTTAAGTCAACGTTCTGAAGGGGCTAAGTCAACGTTCTGAAGGAGCTAAGTCAACGTTCTGAAGGGGCTAAGTCAACGTTCTGAAGGGCTAAGTCAACGTTCTGAAAGTCCAGCGTTCACCAAAGGAAGGTTAAGTCCAGCGTTCACCGAAGGCTAAGTCAGCGTTCTGCTGAAGGGGCTAAGTCAACGTTCTGGAAGGAGCTAAAGTCAACGTTCTGAAGGGGTTAAGTCAGAAAAGCGTTCTGGAAGGGGGCTAAGTCAACGTTCTGGAAGGAGCTAAGTCAACGTTCTGAAGGGGTTAAGTCAACGTTCTGAAGGGTAAGTCAACGTTCTGAAGGGGTTAAAGTCAGCGTTCTGAAGGGGCTAAGTCAACGTTCTGAAGGAGCTAAGTCAACGTTCTGAAGGGGTTAAGTCAACGTTCTGAAGGGGCTAAGTCAACGTTCTGAAGGAGCTAAGTCAACGTTCTGAAGGGGCTAAGTCAACGTTCTATAGGGGTTAAGTCAACGTTCTATAGGGGTTAAGTCAACGTTCTGAAGGGGCTAAGTCAACGTTCTGTAGGGGTTAAGATCACGCGTGTCTCCCTACGATCATCTTCATCTAAAGTTCTAAATTGTTTTACACTTGAGTAGAATGTGTTCCCTGAGGGTCGGGCCGTGTTGCACATGCCAGACAAGAGGTGGTCAAGGTGTGTGGTTCAGATACATTCCTTGACACACAAATTGGCCAGCTTTGTTTTCCATGTAAGATTTAGTTTCCCCAAGCCACCTGAAGCCTGTGTGTTAGGTAATACTGAATAGATTTTTAATGGGTGATTTTAATGGTTGTAAATTGTATAACCTAACTTAACCTATGTCGCTTCTTCTAGTACCGTTGACACTTTTATCTTATGATTCAGGAACATATGATTATTTTTGATAAATATTTCATGATTATCACGTTCAAGATACTTTGTTAGTAATGGTAATAATAATAACTTACCTGTGCCGTGAATGCCAGAGGTGAGAGTGTGGCGGAGCTTGGAGAGGGCAGTGCCAGTCTCGGGTACCTCTGACCTGGCCCCAAGACCCCCACCTCCTCCCTGACCCCCGCCACTCCCCTCCGACGCCACCATCTGCCGGAGAAACAAAGGCAAGAGTTAGACAAATGTTATTATAAAGTTGTGGTGTATTACCTTGAAGCGTTTACCTGTATATACTGTGTGTGTGTGTGTGTGTGTGTGTGTGTGTGTGTGTGTGTGTGTATCAGCTCGTCAGTGTGCACAGATTGTATCAGGATGTTGACCATCAGAGCGGACAGGATCTCTCCCGCAAATCGGATGAAGGATTAATGGTCAGGGGAGACCTTGACCAGGACAGTTTTTGGATATTGTTCAAAGGTCAAATTCAAGAGGACGAGGATATGTGTTGGGTCATGGTGAGGAATTTTTTTTTATAATCCGAGAGTTTTGAGTTTTCTGTTATTTTATTTTTTATTTTGAACTTTGTCTTTTAATTGTTTGTGTGAAATTTAGTATTTTTTTGTTTTTTAATATTTATCTATATTTTCATTTGTATTTTTTCTTAGGTTAGGTTAGGTTAGGTTTATTAAATATTTTACTTGTTTCTATATTCAAGTAAAATATCGTTTTTGTTATTCTAGTTATTTTTTCTTAATATTACCACGCATAATTTTTGATATATTATTTTTTCCACGTCAACTTTAACTTTTATAACGAACGAATTTTGTTACGTGATATTTTACCCAAATTTCTCCGTTGGAAATTTCATACAAGTGAGCAGAGAAAAAAATGAACTCCTTGACAACCATTAGCGAGGAACATCACCAAGAGGTCCCACGGCCACGTCTTGTGTGTGCCTTGAGAGAGCTGGACCCTGTTCCCTCGTACCCACACCAGGGAGTTAATTGGAGGTAGAGGGTGAAGGGTGACAAATAGCTTAGTATCAGAATGTCAGAGAGAAAATTGCATGCATTTGTTGACGTCAGTGTGTGGAGGGCAAATGTTTTCCCTGGTGAAGAATTATCGTCTGAATCATCTCCTTCTTCCCCTCATCTGTGTTGCAATAATTTATGGATGTTGCACCTCTCAATACTGTCACCACCACCACCACCACCACTACCACCACTACAGCCACCACCACTACCACCACTACAGCCACCACCACCACTACCACCACCACCACCACTACCACCACCACCACCACCACTACCACCACTACAGCCACCACCACTACCACCACTACAGCCACCACCACCACTACCACCACCACCTAGAACCAGGGAGAACTGGCTGTTACTGGTCCTAATGGTTGCAGTGTAGATCTATACTCTCTCTCTCTCTCCACAAATACATTCACTTAAACAGATACAGCAATAAGAATTGTTTCAACACACCAGAATAATGAAATCTCTTGCCCAGAAAAATACCTAACAAGGGTTTAGTTGACCTGTTTAGGCAATTAGACAAAGACATGAGTTTGTTTCAGTCTCTCTCTTCCTCCCTCCACCCTCCACCCCCTCCCCTCCACCCTCCACCCTCCTCCCTCCACCTCCATCCTAACCTCCTCCACCCTCCACCTCCACCTTCCACCACCACCCTCCACCCCCTCCTCCCTCCACCCCTCCATCCTAACCCTCCACCCTCCACCTTCCACCCTCCATCTTCCACCTTCCACCCTCCACCCTCCACCTCTGAATTCCTCTCCCACCACCACCCTCCACCCCTCTCTCCACCTTCCCACCTTCCACCCTCCATCGTCCACTCCTCCACCTCCACCTCCTCCTCCACCCCATCCTCCACCTCCACCTCCATCCTAACCCTCCACCTCCCACCCTCCACCTCCCTCCTTCCCTCCGTCCACCTCCACCCTCCACCCTCCACCCTCCTCCGTCCACCTCCACCCTCCACCCTCCACCCTCCACCTCCACCTCCCACCTCCACCCTCCACCCTCCTCCTTCCTCCGTCCACCTCCACCTCCACCCTCCACCTCCACCTTCCTCCCTCCACCTCCACCTCCTCCTCCTCCCTCCTCCGTCCACCTCCTCCACCTCCACCTCCACCCTCCTCCAACTCCACCTCTACCTCCACCCTCCACCTCCACCTAGTTTAAAGCAGGCATGGTGGTGTGTGTGTGTGGGGGCTCTGTCAGGGGAGAAGGAACCGTGAAATAAGATGCAAGACTTCGCCTGACCACTGAAGGCCCGGGCCAGTTATAGGAGCTGTACACTAACATTTGGAGAGGGAACGAGAGGGAGGGAGAAAGAGAGGGAGAGAGTGGGAAAGAGAGAGGGAGGGAGAGGGAAAGAGAGGGAGAAGGAAAGAGAGAAGGAGGGAGGAGGAAAGAGAGGGAGGAAGAGATGCAGAAGTAATGGATTATAGAATGAAAATACATTTACAGCACACACACACACACACACACACACACACACACATTAGTTTAACCTTCATCTCTCAGGAGAATGGGCGATTAAAAAACATACATACATACATACATACATACATACATACATACATACATACATACATACGTACATACATACATCCACATTTTTAATTACGGTATAAAATACGTTTAATTTCACCTATAGAATCGTATCTACGTAATTAAAAACTAAACAAGCGGCCACCAGCATTACCTGGGCCGTTGATGACGTCACTGGGGGTATTAGCGGGAGAGCGGAGGCGGGTGCAGACACAAAGGTGTTTTAAATACGTAATTACACATTGTCTTCGTCGTCAAAAATACCCAGGACTAAAGCTCCTTATTTTAGGTGTCGCCCAGGTGTATTTGGTGTCGGCCAGGTGCATTTGGTGTCGGTCAGGTGTATTTGGTGTCGCCCAGGTGTATTTGGTGTCGCCCAGGTGTATTTGGTGTCGGCCAGGTGTATTTGGTGTCGGCCAGGTGTATTTGGTGTCGCCCAGGTGTATTTGGTGTCGGCCAGGTGTATTTGGTGTCGCTCAGGTGTATTTGCTGTAGGCCAGGTGTATTTGGTGTCGCTCAGGTGTAATTGCTGTAGGCCAGGTGTATTTGGTGTCGCTCAGGTGTAATTGCTGTAGCCCAGGTGTATTTGGTGTGGGTGTTGGGTGGTAATTCTCACGTCAAAATATAAGAAAAATACTCAACCACTTTTCACTGTTATTTTCACGTTAAAAAATATAAATTAATTACGGAACTACTTTTTACCGGACCGGATAAACCTGAAGACTGGACCAGAAAGGAATTTTAACTGGACCGGACAAGCAGGATAACTGGACCAAAACAAACATGATAACTGGACCAAAACAAACAGGATAACTGGACCAGAACAAACATGATAACTGGACCAGAACAAACATGATAACTGGACCAGAACAAACTGGATAACTGGACCAAAACAAATTGGATAACTGGATCAAAACAAGACAGCGAGGAGAGTTTTTCCTCAGGTGAGTGACGGTATCAACACTCGATCTTAATTAGTGTGGCCAGACTCTTCCGTACCTGTGTTGGACCCATCTCATGCCTTATGGGCTTGGTGATGTGCTGGTGATGATGTGGTGAGGTTGGTGGTGATGTGGTGGTGATAGGATAGGCCTGGTGTTGTTGGTGGTAATGTGGTGGTGATGTGGTGATGAGGTGTGGTGATGTGTGTTGGTGGTGGTGATGTTTTGGTGATATGATGTGTTGGTGATGTAATGATGATGTGCTAGTGATGTGTTAGTGATGGTGATGTGTTGGTGATGCAGTGTTTTAGGGAGACAAAGGAGTGTAGGGAGATAATATAGGGTGTGAAGAGGGATGTGCTGGCTTAGAGATGTGTTTTTTTAGATAAGTGTGTGTGTGTGTGTGTGTGTGTGTGTGTGTGTGTGTGTGTGTGTGTGTGCCGTAGTGATATTTTCTCTCTCTCTCTCTCTCTCTTACTCTCTCTCTCTCTCTCTCTCTCTCTCTCACTTTTAGACAACCGGAGAACGATTTTCCTCCAGCGAGACGATCATTTTCTATCACGTTCTTTCAATCAGCTTCCACGTCAAGTCTTGTCTTCAGGGTTAGAGTGCAGATAACTATCACATTCACTCTCGGAAGATGCCAAAATGTGGGGGGCTTTACATTCCTCGCCTGGGTGTTCCATTTTGTCTGGCTTTCGTGCTAAAATATCATAGTAATGGATGGATGTTTTGGTTTTCTTGGGACATCTTAAGAATGGAGATATCACTTTGTGGATATTTGTGTTTCAGGGGATATTTGTGTTTCAGGGGTATTTGTGTTTCAGGGGTATTTGTGTTTCAGAGGGGGTGTTTCAGGGGTATTTGTGTTTCAGGGGTATTTGTGTTTCAGGGGGTATTTGTGTTTCAGGTATTTATGTTTCAGGGGGTATTTGTGTTTCAGGGGATATTTTGTTTCAGGGGGATATTTGTGTTTCAGGGGATATTTGTGTTTCAGTGTTTCAGGGGTATTTGTGTTTCAGGGGAGGGGTATTTGTGTTTCAGGGTATTTGTGTTTATGTTGTGTTTCAGAGGGTATTTGTGTTTCAGGGGGGTATTTGTGTTTCAGGATATTTGTGTTTCAGGGGTATTTGTGTTTCAGGGATATTTGTGTTTCAGGGGTATTGTGCATAACTCTTACGGCAGTTCAGCTAAATTATCAGTATAACTTTCATTCCATTACTTATATATATATACATATTTTACATCCTATCTTAGGTTAAAGTATTCAAACACAGTTAAATTAACGAGTTATTCATTTTACGATCCTTTGATAAATCTACAACGGGTATTGTAGATATGTAACGAGTTTTGTGAATCAGGAACGAGTTTGGGGAATTCAGATCAAGATTTGTCAACTCGTAATAATAATCGAGGTTCTCCTGAAATGGGAATGGAAATGTATTTAAGCTCGAGTTCGTCCCCTTCCTCGAGCATGAAGCACGGCTGTTGTGGCGTCATGAAAAATGTACACGACAAGTTTTCCAATAATTCATTCACTATTGCATCTGCTGTAACATACGAGCGATATATCAAAACCTCCTCCGACCCCTCCCCCTCCCGTACCGCGAAGGAAAATCACCATATGCTAATGTAGATTCATTCCTGAGCGTCTGTGTGTGTGTTATGTGTGTGTGTGTGTGTGTGTATG